GCGGGTGGGGGTCCCAGGTGTCCCCCGGCCGGGGGGGGGGGACCCTGGCGTCGTGGCTTGGCCTCCATCCTCATCATCCTCATCATCATCTCCCCCGTAGGTGGAGGACCTGCTGCCCCCCGTCTTTTCGGTGACCCCCAAGGGAAGCGGGGCCGGCTACGGGGTGGGCTTCGACCTGGAGGAGTTCCTCAGCCAATCGCTGGACATGGTGGGGGACACCAAGGACAGGTGAGCGGGGACCCAAGCGTCCGGGCGGGGAGGGGACCCCGGCGTCCGGGCGAAGACCCCGGCGTTGGGGCTGAGGACACCCCCCGCCCCTCCCCACCGCAGCCAAGGCGATTCGGCGCCGCTCTCGGCATCGCTGCTCGCCGATTGGCTGGAGGTCCATCGCCTGAGCCCCGCCGCCCTCGAGAGCCTCCAGCGCGACCTCCAGCTCGGCTCCCCCATGCTGCTCGCCGACGACCTCCCGGACCCCTAACGGAGGGGCCCCGGCCGCCCTGGCCCCGCCCTCCCGGCGTCCAGGCCCCGCCCTCCCGGCGTCCAGGCCCCGCCCTCCCGGCGCCTTGGCCCCGCCCTCCCGGCGCCCAATTAAATTTGTAAGGAAACGGCCCCGTTTCGTGCCCCCCCGTCCGAGGGACCTGGGCGTCTGGGCGTCGGTCTCGGCTCTTTGGGGACCTATAGCAGCTATAGGGAATGGTGGGGGGCGGCGGGACCTCGTGTGGGGCTGTCGGAGACTCTGCAGACCTATAGGAGCCGTAGGGGGCTGTAGGGAGCCACGGAGGCTGTATGGGGACGTATGGGCTCTATAGCCTTGTTGGAGACTCTATAGGGTCTATAGGAGCTGTAGAGAATGTGTCGGGCTATAGGGAGCTCATGGGTTGTACAAGATTACATTACGCTATAGAAATCTATAGGGACTGCATGAGGCTATAGGGCCCTGTGCAGGCTGTATGGGAGACTATGGACCAATGGGGTCCTGTATAGGGCTGTAGGTGCTGCGGGAGCTATACGGGGCTGTATGGCATTTTAGGCAACCGCGTGGGACTACGGGGAGCTGTATAGGACTATAAGTAGCTATATATGCGTGTATGATTTTATATAGGGCTGCTTGATAGCATATAGAGCAATAAGGGGGCTATAGAGAGCTGTAAGGGGCTATAGGTGCTTGTAGGGACCTTATGGGAGCTATAGGGAGCTGCAGGGACCCTTGGGGGACCCCTAGGAATACAAAGGAGCTGTAGGGATGTCAGGGGAGGTATAGAAACCACATAGCCACTATGGGAGGGCTGTAGGGGCCATATAGGAGCTATAGGGAGCTGTAGGGATGTCGGGGGAGGTATAGGGACCCCGTGGCCGCTATAGGGGGCTGGAGGGA